TATCAGTGGGGTCAAATACAGCTACTGGTGAAGATGGATGAAGCATATCACTTTCCTGTTTTCACAAAATATACTTCAAACTGAAGGTAATTAAATTTTTAAGGTGGCAATAATTGGCTGATAACAATCTTTACTAAGGAGGTATTGAAACACAAACGAAAGCTGTCCATGACAAGTTTAAACATTGTATAACTTTGCTGGGCACACGCCAAACCTAAATTCAGGAAACTAAAGGCCTGAAAAAAAAATTCTATGGAAGAGGTTTGGATTTTTCTCAGAGCAACAACAGTCTTTCTCATGAAACAGTAAATCACATATTAAATAAAACTGACTCTGCGTGATAAAATGTAACAAACTTAATTCATTTTATAAAGCATGAATTATAAAGAATATAAAAATATAAAAACTATGAATTTTAAATCAATAGTGAGGATCTAGTCATGTAGCTTTTGAACTCTCTGCTTGCACTTTAGATTCCATTGCAAGCGTTTAGATGTTCAAAATCATTTTCTTAGATGTTCCTAGAGTACAAAGATCTTGAGCCTGGGCAGAAACAAATTTAACAAAAAACCCCAATAGGAATGCTAAACTTTTTGAAACAATATTTTGGACTCTAAAAACTTCTGGTGACACCAAAAAGAATGCTGTATAAGTAGATTTCTTACATCAAGATATCTTTGCAACTGTTAAAGCCATCACTTATCAAGGTATCTTTGCTGAGCAGTTACCTATCTAAACCAGATGTTGGTGTCAATGATCAATGATTCTAGAGTTACGTTCAGACAAATTGTCTCCAATGAACAACACAAAAGACTGAGCTGTAATTAATTGACTGCAGAACTTAAGTTGTGTCACTTGATAAACACCTATGACCTTGAAGGGAAAGACTCTTGATGATTAATTTCTCTCACAAAAGATATTGGTCTTCCATCATTACAGAACAATAAAAAAACGAAATTAATAACAGCTTTGTACAGTGGCTTTTAACTAAGAGCCATTACTAAAATGTATTGATTTCATGTTTCCACAAGGATACAAGTATTCACCAATTATCAGCCTCAGTTTGTTAACAAAACAATACATATTCACAAAAGGAGTCAAAAGTCACTGAAGACAATTAACAACGCTTTACAGGGAGGTAAGAATGCCAGAAACAAGCTTGTAATCTGTTGTGTAACATATTCTCTACCGATTGATTTGGACAGACATTTCTAATTTATTTCCACTTTACCTCAGTCAAAACAGAACAACAATACAGAATACTCGGCATGGGAAATCATTGCCTTTGGGTGCATTTAAAAAAAAATGTATCAAACACATCTTGCTGCTCTAACTCACATCACAGAGACCCTTTTCAGCAACAGTCAACAGCTACAAAGTGTACAGAACAATTGACTTCTGCTCTAAATTCCAAAAGGGGAGATTAAATTTATTTGATATTACTTGTTACTATTTTTTTAGCAAAATACAAGTGCAATCAAAGTTATTCTAGATAACAACTCTAGAAAAATCTAAACAATATATCAATGGATCTTCGTCACAACAATAAAAGCATGTTTACCTCACCACAAAGAAAATTTACCATGAACTGTTTCATAAAAGATGACTATGAATGCACTTGATTTGTCTCAGTTGTTGTTGTTGTAAATTGAGATTAAATGACAGGTACAAATGGCCTGAAACATGCCTTTTTTCTGTGACAAGTCAGAGAGGCTTTTTTCAAAATCAATTTGAAGTGCTCTTGGGTGCATTTGACCTTTATACTTGACACAAGACCAACATAAATGGATAAATTCAAAATGCCTAAAATAGCTGTGGTGTTGACTTCATGAAATTGGATAAGAACGGTATTGTGCAAGTATCAAACTTGATACATGTTGAAAACACAATGAAGTTCAAAACAGCACGACCCTCTTATGCTTGACTAAAGACTCAGACCTACATGCGAGAAAAGACCTGTGAAGCTCAGATAGTCAGAATAGCTTTGAAATTGATCCAAACATGTGCACTTATGCCTGGAATTAAATGACTTCCAACTGATTCAATAGTCTTAACAACTGCATGATTTAAAGTAATAAAGGATTCCGACAGATGGGTTCCAGGATTTTGTTTCTTTAAGTATTTATTATTCTTGTAAACCTCTTTCATGCAACAGATCTCCTACAGTGGATTGATTAATTTAAATATTATTGATCTTAGAGACAAAAGTATTCTAGAAAAAAAAAAAACAACTTAACAAAATTTGAATTTTCTCCCCTGAAAATTGTGTCGTTTCAAATGTCAAGGCAATATCAATTAATTATGTTCTGTAGCAAATTTCATTAATTATTTTCTTTTTTTTTTTTTAATGCGCAGAAAAATATTTTGAGAGCTTTTGAATTAAGAAATTGCGCCTGAATACAAGTTAAGGAAACCACTTGTAATTCCATTATCTTTACAAAATTGAAATTCACAACACTTGTTTATTTTAATCAATAATCGCGATCTTTCCCGAGGATTACTGCGAAATAATTAATCATCACTTCTTCCAGTCTTAAGCTCTGTTAGTATGAAACATTCACGGACACAATTCTATTTAACATGTTGTAAACAGCACCATGGCTGAATCATTTTCTCTAGTATGACAACACATTACTCATCAAATATTTACGCGGAGAAAGTTACGAGACATCTAGGTTATCTAAATTTATCCAACCTTTTGTCAATCAGGACACTCGATTTAGCGCTTTCAATTCAAGAGTAAAGATAGATCCGCACAGAAGAGGTAAGATTCCGTTCACACAACAGAGAATTTACCACATGGGGCCCAGTTAATGGACAACTATTTTAAGCATAAACATTTACCGTCTTGAAAATGCCTCGGCGGAAATGAATGTTTACCGAACGACATATTTATTAAACGAGATTGTATTCTTTTTCTCTGTAAATCACGAACGATCCCGTAATCTTATTAACTGTGAAGGCTAAAAAAATTTGCGCGATCTTTGTTGAGCAAATGAACGTATTTGGTTTCTAGAGCGCCGATTAGTTGGTCGACTAAGAAAGCAAACTTTAAACATTGTTTTCATCGCGTGTTACAGTTTCTGTTTACATCTTTCTAAAATTATAGTACAAAGATCGCTGAAAGAAAATTGTTTTTGACACTTGAAAAATCAGATGATATAACAGGAGTGGGCACGCTATTACTAAATAGTACCAAATATGATAAAATACGTAAAACTCTCAACACTACGTAAGGTCAATAGAAGTAATTTTCGTTGCGAGGAAACTTAGAACAGAAAAGGACAAACACGTACTCAATTAGTTTGAGGTGAAAATAAGCAAACTTGAAAACATCTGTGAAACAAATTCTCTTTTAGAGTGTATTTGGCTATGTTGTTCACGTGAAAGCCAAAAATTATTGCAATCTTCATTGTTCGCTTGCGGCTATTGAAAACATTACAATTAGTTCTTATGGGCAAAGATATCAAACATTTGAACTATGCGATCAGCCTTGACAGCATTTACGCCTAGCTCAAGAGAACTAACTGTTTTCCTTGTGGCTTGACATTATCATAGTTTCAGGATACTGCCGATGCCTATCGCCAAATTTATTTCCTCTCTAATTTCCTACCTTTGACCAGCTAGGTTGGAGTTGCACAGCATATCTGCCGTCTTCCAGCGCGCGTTCGAACTGCCGTGTTCGAATGAAAGCTGCAGATCTGTTTCCATACAGAACGTGGTTCTGAGGATCGAGATTTATTGCATCTGTATATAGTTCAACAGCGAGTATAAACTCTCCTCGCGAGCAAGCTTCCCCAGCTAGCTTTGCCTTCTCCAAAAACACCGAGCGGGCTTCTGTTGTTGCGGGTTGCGTCTGAAAAGTGAAAACATAAACAAAGTAAAAATTTCAAGACCGTATACTTCCAGAAACACTCAAGAAGTCCATCAAGGATTTACCCTAAATCTTAAGCGGTACATTTAGGAAAAAATGCTCTGCAGTTCAGTTTAGCTACGTACAAAATACCTACCAATATTACACCACTCAGCTGGTACAGTGAGTTATAAACTGTCGCTTCCTGACCTGTCTACATCTACGTATGTAATTTCAGAGCAGTGGACTTCCACGATAAGATGGGTATCACTGGAGGTGAATTGTAGGCCGAAATTACCTCAGTGTTCGCGGTTTAAAACCTAGCAGTTTCCCACTCGTTAAGAGAGGGGACCTTCACAAAACACGCCACGAGTTTACCGAAATAATCCGATATACTCAACTACTCCGGCGGCCTACAAATATGCACAGAATTAGTTCACTGTCAAACCTGCAATTTGTCGTCCGTTGAGGCTTCACCCATTTAGCTCACAGGGGAGCAGAACCAAAAGTTTAAGGTATTTCCTGTCGTGTATAACATTCGCTTTAACCACATATACAATACAAGATCTGTGATTCATTATGTTACATCGCGGGACAATCGTTTTAAGACATCCATTTTCGAGACGATTTGGGTGAAGAACTCGACCCAGCCTCCAATGACGTCAGAACGTGTAACTGTCAGCCAGGTCACATTTTAATCGTTGCGAATCGAACAGGTTACTTAGCAAAGAGTATCAACAATTATATAAATTCGAAAATCCCTCCCTTTTTTTCCAGATCGGAAATAAATAACACACAGAATAGTGAAAAATAATTAAGTTAGTCACTTCTAGAGGGAAATTCTCATATGAAGGGTTCTGAAAAAAAACGTGCTGACTAACTTCACTCGCGAACCCAAATTTGCATATAATTGTCCGGAATGCGTTCGGGGCATTTTAATTAATAGCGTAATTATTTGGCCTCAAGAATTAAAATTGATAGGTTACTGTAGCTTTTTGCGGGATGTTTTTTGTATATGTTCTTTGTATATGTTTTGTCAAGAAATATATTTCCACGCAAATCTGCCAGGAAAACGTTCGTTGATTTTGTGGCACAGAATAAGCGGCGCTAATTGCGTGAAAACGATAATTGTCAGAAGCTGAGCTACTTCAAACAGAAAAGTAACAACAAAGGCAGATCGCGCTAATGATTTTGCTGTTAGCAAATGGGTTAGGGTTCAGTTAACCTGAATGGCACGCTCAAAACTTGAGTGATGATAGATTGATAAAATTGATCACTAACAATTTCTTCGACAAGAAATTAACAGTCTGTCAATTTCATAGGAACTTAAATAAATCGCCGTATTCGATAAACACTTGAAATGGTTACGCAGTCTTCGAAATTTTGTCAACGTGCTATGAAAAACAATTAGAAACAAGATTAGCTACAAAAACAAATATATATTGTTTCAGTGGCATTCGTGCATGGTAACTACTATCAATTTGACTATCAGAAGAACGAGAAAATAATAAACTAACAGTAATTCCTATAATTAGCAGATAATTAAGTGAGAAAAAGAAACTTAACAGATCTTTCATGAGGTAGTGTCTTCATTAGTGGTGAAAAAGCCTCATTTTATAAAAAAAATCGGTTCATCTTGTTTATAAATTATTTAGAAATATCGGCCCAGCCGGCTGTTTTGAACAAAGGTTGGTTGGAGAAATACAAAAACGTTCTTGAAGGACCCTGAAGCGTTCTAAAATGTTTCCTGTCTCACATAAAGTTGAAAATAATTGATTCCACCGACTGACTGCAAAACAAATTATCCTCAAAGAGCTAAAAAAAACTTTCGAAAAATAGCGGTAACATCCCTACGATCAAAAAGGGAAGGGATCGTGAAATGAGTTAACTTAAATACCATTATATTTAATGAATGGCTGATAAAATCTGTCAAGTGCCATCTCTATCATTAATTTGACGGACCACTGCATTATTCCGAGCGTATTATGGAAATGCAGGCCTGATGGAAATGCGTGAAGCTGAGAAGTCACGGTACCATGCTCTCTCGAGGTTTTGATGAGGGGAAGCAAAAAAGAGGGCCGGGGAGGGGGAGGGAGAGAGAGGGGTAATTTTGGAATCTTTTTCTAAACAGCAAACTTAGAACGTTGCTGATCGGAATGAATCATTTACGTTTTATTGAGGAGGGTAAAGGGGGGCAAGAAGGGTAAATTTTTTTTCTTTTCATACATATACAGAAGCTCCCACGAGGAAACAACTTCGGGGTGCTGGAAAGGTAACTGTAACTGGAGAAGGCTGCTGCTGTTTTCGGGAATGTACAAATCTGACAAAGTCCATATGGAAGTTTTAGTTGTAATCATAAAACGAGATTTTCTCAGAGTAGTCTTAACAAAAGCTCTCTTTTTACCTTCTTTAACTTAGCTTCCATTGTACCAGATTACAAATATGCTCGGAGCAAGTAGTTTACTTCCTGAGTGAAATTTGGACCCGACTGAGCTGTTACTACAACATTTTCTGCAGCCGACGGTGAATAAATTCACCTCTCGATGAAAATGCGTCTGTTAAGAGTAAATCGTTATTGCGAATCATCATCCGTATAAGGCCTCATTAGGTGTCCCAAGTTACAGATTTCACCGAAAAACACTTAATAATGTTAATTATTTATTATATGAAGACTCATTATTCGGATATGAATTCAAACAAAGTACGTATACGCACCCGACAACGCTTTCGTTCAATCCTGGACATGGATCCTTTTTCTTCCACCACGAAGGACACTGGTGTTTTAGTGATGCAACTGTCACCTTGGAATATCCTTTAGCAGCTCTCAACTGCTGATAAACGGTACGCTGCATGAAAACTGAACAGTTTGCCTCGTCCTCAGAAACAATATCTGATGAAAACTGCCTTGAATTCCATGTTAAGTGGACTTGAACAAACACGGGCGCTTCGGATAAAATCCCTTAATAGAATTACCACTATTCCTACGAAAAGTATACAATTTCTTAATGTTTAATCTTACAAAGAATCAGCACATTTTTGAGATGGGGATTACCCATTCGTGTGACACACAAGAGATGTTTGCCATGAAAAGTTCACTCAAAAACTTAAACTGTGGTTTTTCGAATCATGAAACTAGAAATTTTCAAGGAGATTACCCATTCTTATGACACACAAGAGATGTTTGCCATGAAAAGTTCACTCAAAAACTTAACCTATGGTTTTCCGAATCTTACAGCCAAAAACATTTTGGAAAAACTGACCAATGATGTTGCACAACACCAGACTTATACCACTCGACTCACAAACAACTTTCCCACTCGACTTTTATCATGACTTCCGGTCAAGTTGTTGAAACTTACAGACACTGCAACCGCAACCGATAACGGGGAAGGGGGGTGTTTGAGTATCACTCTCACTCAATCACTCCTCAAATGTTTTCAGCATTACTCATGACGTTTTTTCCTCTTGAAAATATTTTTAAAAAAATTTGTTAAATGACATGTTTTTAAATAATTCTCCTAAATTCTTTTCCTGCTAATGGTAACGATCGCCTCTATTCATAGCATCAACGATTTCTATTACCCTTTGAAAGTTATTTAACACTCAAATGTATAATAAGGGTTAAGGGTTTTCAAATCTTGACAAGCCAATTTTTCGCGTCGGCTTGATTATAGTCTGTTCCAAACCGCGCCCTTAGGCAGTTTGCATCATCATGAAAGCGTTTAATCCGGCCGTCAATAGACAAAGTCTGACAGTAAGCCGCTATACGCTGGCAGATGGTCTATCATCTGGCAGCGTCTACAGATGAACGTCTCGAAAGCCTACGAGAGAAATCTGCAAAAAAGAAACCCGCAATGATTGAGTGGGACCATTAATTGCAAAGTTTATATGTACTTGAATAAAATGGATTACAATGAAAGCTAAAAACTGTGTCAGAATGATTTACTAAGGAAAGGTGTAGGTTCATATCGATAGGAACATGTATTATGTACAGTTCACATGGAGATCACGTGGAGATCTGTATCGAAAGCGCAGCAGTCTTTGCTGTCGTCTGAGGAATTGGAGTTTGAACCGGGAGATTATAAATCAGGAATCAGAGCGGTTAAGGAAGAAGGAATCTTGAAGTGAATTGCGAAGTTTAGTTGAAAGTAAATTATGAATATCGGAAAAAATGGTCAATAAATAATAAATCATTGGGCTAGGAAAAACGCAGGAATCACGAATACCAAAGGTCAAATGATTCCATTTTTTTCATTAACCTGACTCGATGGAGGACAACGCGGTTGATCAGCGGGTTATGTTGGCATGTGACTGAAACTTCTCCGAAAGCTTTAACTAAACTATCTTTCTTTCAGACAGGAAAAGGTAACCTCGCTGTACTATGATTTGTTCGTTGTCATAATTTTACAACTGGAGTTGCGTGGAACCGAGGTTTGACGAAGTTTTTTGCTCAACAATCATTTTTTCCCTCGGGGGCGTACAAAGTTGAATGCGGCAACAGAGCTAAAGAGATGGCAAATCTCTGACCTAATTACATTGAGTTAGACCATAAAAGACTGCTAAACTGTGCTTTATTTTATAATCTTTCTGCTGGGATAAAGATTATAAGCGAACTAATTGCATTAAATAATGCAACCGCAGTGAAACACGACAAATTACAGGTGATCGGTCATGCCTACTTATGTGTGGGTTTCGTGTCAAAACATCCTGCCCTAGCTATTCCTGGTCTAAAAAAATAGATTTTGATCAATCTTTGATGGGCCCTGTTACTTCTTAAAGATAAAATTACCAAAAAATAAGCTAATTCTAAAAATAGATCTTCTTCAGGTGACTTGTGCGAGAAAGCTTTTCTCAAAGATGATTTTGAGAGGAGCGGGTTGAGTGGTGGAGGAAGTAAACTAATCATAGTCAAGAAAAATAGACAGGAAAAAGTGAGAAAAAAGCTTGGTTGTTATTTCTGTGAGTGCGCCCCGTCATTATTTATCGTGGGGGAGGGGTGGTGGAAGATTTTTAGGGATCGCATTGTTTTCAGGGGAAACGGAAGGGGAAATCAGTCATCGCCAGGTTAGTATAAAGCGGAGACTTAAGAAACCTGACTGCTAATCAACTGCTGATGAGTGGTAATCAGTCAAAATTTACCGTGACAAATCCAAAATCCTCCACCGCCTTCCGCCCCAGCTGCGGCGATAAACATTGACCAGCATGAGTGCAGCTGGTTACTGTTTGGTCATCCTGACACAGCAAGAGCGCGGTTACGTAGCGATCACTTTCATTAAAATTTTCAAAGAGGACAGAAGGCCGGTGGCCTGAAAACAAGGATTTGGAGCTTTGACATTTGTTGATCCCAAGATGTTAGGCTGGGCAATAGCTTTGCCAATAATTGGAACCTACATTGTAACTTCTGTAGTCCTTTTAAACTTTCCTTGGCTCGTTCATAAGAGGAAACAGACGAAGTTCCGTTGTCGCCACATTAGTCATAGAGGAGGTGAATTTAGTGATTAATGCGACCGTAGATCGGTCGGCAATTATGCTGATCATTTTGGAATCTCGACTTTAACTTCGCCGGACTTAATTAATGAACATGTTACAAATCTCTTCCTATGTGTCATTATATTATCAGTTTACCGAAAAGAAGATGGTAAACTTTTCTACAACTGCAGTATAAGTTTTACGTTCTACATGTCGCCAAGTTATCGCTTTTTTCAAGTCTTTCTTTTAGTCTCTGAATAAGGTACATGTAGCAAACCATTCCTGATCCCGAGTTCTGATCATTTTGTAGCCTATTCCAAATATTCCGATTTCTTAATATTATTCTTAATTATTAATATTATGTCAAGTTGAGGTGGGTCGGGTTGGTGGGGGAGGGGGGGGAAGGGTTATTGAGCAGCTCTCCGCGATCATGACATGCTAGTAAAAGCAAACAAAACATGACATGAAGTTTGGTTGCACAACTGTTTACTTACCCTTCCCTGCCAAATAAAAGGCCTTGCACTTTCACTTGCAATCCTTTCCTTTAGGTGGAATTCTAGGAAAGTTACTAATTAACAAACTTTTTTTCTTGGGTGGTTTATCTCAGGGGCTGCAGAAAATTTAGAGAATACGATGACAGCCTATCATCAGTAAGTAAAATTTTGTATATGCATACGTCTACAGATTTTGTACAAAATATCAATTTGCTTAATTTGGTTACCAAACAGCTCGTCCATTTTGGCCTTTTGTTTGTAACTTAAGGTGGCAATTTGTAATGAAACTTGCCCAAAAATAAACCTTTAATACATTTTGCTTTTATTTCTCCCTAAGTGCCTTAAAAATGGGAACAGAAATGCTTGAATTAGATGTTCGCCTTACAGCAGATGAACAGGTAAAATTAGAGATACAACAGAGTTTTTGAAGGAAAGCAGTCAGCTTTATAATTTAAAAAGAAGTAGCTGCAATAATTATCACTGACAATAAATGTAATAATTGTAAATTTCCATTTGTTTAGTGTGTAATTTGATTATTTCAATATAAAGCAGAGTTTAAAAGTAAACAGAGAATGATTCAATGAGATCAACTTTCTTTAGGAAAATTTTGGACTCCACTCAAAGGAAAATGTAGAACCAATCTGAATTAGATCTTGGCATCCTTTAATTCCAACCAGGTTGTTGTATGTCATGATGATGAACTTTCCCGTGTAACAAACACAGACTTGAAGATTTGTGACTTGAATTTCAAGGTAACAATATTATATATTTTATCTGTAATATTCATATCTGATCTTATCCCACAAATTATGCAATACTGCTTTTGTCTGATTTTTAATCATTTGCGAGAGAATGATGCATCACAGTGAATGGTTTGACCAGGGGAGAACAATTGATCATGTAGTATAATTGTTAATAAGAGTAGTCCTGAAAAGGACTGTTGTCAGTAGTAATGACTGATTCAGAAATTTTAATGACCAAAGCAAAAGTCATTAATTGTCACAGTCAAGTGATTCCTGGTTTTGACAGTGACTCTTTACCCCTTTACACCCTAACATCAGCATGCATATTCTCCACACTGTTTTTACACATTTCCTAAGATGTTGACAAGGAGAATTTGTATAACAAATCAAGAACTTCCTTAGTTCATTTCCTTTATTCACTTGACATTGCTGTGTGATTCAGGGGTGATACTGTAAGTAGAATTTAGATACTAGTCCCTGTTAGGGGGAAATGGGTTAACATTGACTTTCATTCAGGTTGTTGATTTATCAGTCATCCACACACTCTTTTCCTAGACTTCTCCCACCTGGATGATCTGACCTTATGATCAAGAGACAATTTATCATTAGGAATTCTGAAACAATTTCCTAAGTTAAAAAAAGCAAGAGTCTGAGTAATAATTAAGAAGTTTTTCAATGACCATCCTTTGATAAAAGTTCAGAGAAATGGTTAATTAGTGATAAATTCATCTAGCCAACCTCACAATCTCTGTCTCTTGAGGTAGATGAATATTGGCCATAAAATTGAAACTCTTTATCTATGAAATAACAGATTTTGCTCCTTTCTATCCTTTGATTTAGGATTTACCTCTCCTTAGCAGAACACTTGCTGTACAATTTCAACCAGGTGACTCCTAATACAATGGATACGTTACCTTTTTTACTTTTTTACCCAAGATCTCAATAGTAATTCTATTTACAGTTACTGTCTGCCGTACAATTCTCATGATGTTAGTTTAGCTTTTTTTTACTTACTAAATGCCTGAAGCAGGCTACCCAATGTCTTACAAAAGTACCAACTGTCAGAGAAAATTTCTATGAAGTAATGCCAGTAATCTGCTCTTTGACTGGTCTAGAAGGCTCAAGCATTTTTCTATCTCAACATATCGGATAAAAAATTGACATAAATAATCAAGTTTAGATTGGTATTGATATTAATCAGCTGCTCAAATGTACAAGTACTTTAAGCAGTTTTCTTGTTTTGCCAGTACTCTTAATTCTCACCAACTCCTTTTCATCTATTCTGTTGTTCTGACTAGCCATTGCGATTACATAAATTAGGTTTGCCACACTCAAAGAAATACATTCAAATGCTGTCTGGAATTGCTGTGACAAAGTTCTAAAATGTATGTTTTTTCATCAGGTGTGTCATGTGATATGAAAAACAATGACTGTCACATTCCACTGCTGGACACTGTTTTTGAGGCATTTCCTAATATTCCAATAAATGTGGATATCAAAACCAACTCTGATCTACTAATAGACAAGGTGAGTGTAGGATAGGGCATCATTGTTGCATTTTTTTCCCACTAGGTTAGATACCTATGTGTCTATAGATCTAAGCGATTCCTCAAAATTTGACATACAGCAAGGTGCTACAGGATTCCCAAAGTTATTGGTACCCAAACATTGCATTTGCAATGTATTGGTGCGTCCTGAACTTTACAATTTTTGCAGCAAATCATTATAAATATTTTAAATTTTCACATTCAATATAACCCTATAACTCCCAGAAGTGATTAACATGTCACATTGCAAGTAGCAAATCATTACAAATGTTTAAATTTTCACATTCAATATAACCCTATAACTCCCAGAAGTGATTAACATGTAACTTCTCCTTGAAATATCCGTACATTATCCAGCAAACAGGTAATGAGAATACTCAAACTTACTAAATGGAAATTGCTTTCTTGATCTAATGTCAAATTCTCGTTATTTATTCATAAAGACATGTGTAACAGCTAGAGGGGAGAATTAACCTTCATTTTAGGAGTAAAGAGGATAAGAATGTCAACAGCAATTTTAAAATGCAGATTGGAGTAATTGTTTTGCTGTTGAATTGTGGCTGAGCAATATACTAAACTGAATGGCTCAAGTCTGAAACTGCATCATTTGAGTTGAGTTCACTTGTTGATTACTTTGCCATGTTCTCTCTTCTTAGACTCATGAACTGATCTCCAAGCATAACAGAAAGGATTTAACAGTTTGGGGAAACTTTTCTGCAGATGTTACTGAAAAATGTTACAAAAAGGTTTGTAAGCATCAATGGTAAGATTTGAACTTTTAACTTTGTCAAAATTCCATGAAATATTTTTCATAGTTATGACTGACAGCAGCACTAACTTTTTAATTTTTGATATCAAGCTAAGTAGTTAACTCTAAAAATTAGATGTAATGCCCAAGTTGTTCTGTTTATTTAGAAACTATGCTTTCAATCAGAACTATACACAACTAGTTTCTGAAGAATACGAATTGTATTTGACTTGTGTCAACTTTTATTTAATTCCAATCAGGATCCAGAAATTCCAGTCATGTTTTCAATGAAGCGTTGTGCCATACTGGTCTTCTTGTTTTATTCTGGTTTACTACCATTTATTCCTATCAAGGAATCCTTCTTAGAGATCATGTTGCCTGTCACAATGATCAGGTAAGTACCTGTAAGTGTTGAGTATTAATCCTTTACAGCCTAACATCAGCATGCATATTCTCCCTACTGTTCTTCATACATTTCCAAAGAGGTTGACAAGGAGAATTTGTTTCACAATCATGCGCTGCTTTGGTTTGTGATCATCTCCTCTATTCTCATCACTTTCATGTTTGATTCAGGGGTGAAATTGTAGGGAGAAATTAGATGCTAATCACTCTTAGGGGCTAAAGGGTTAATGGCAAGTACATAGAGCAAAGGTGGTGTTAAGAGCAATCAAACTTTTTATATTTCCAGTAAGAATTTTCAGGAGACCTATTAACATGTACTTTTTAGTTCATAATTTCTGGCATGGGAATACTGATACACTAGTTGTTTTTATTATTGACAGTTTTTGGTTTCACTCATTCTTTTTTTTATACCACAGACGTTTTGAAGTGCCTCGTACTATGAAGATCTTGTGTCATATAGTTGACTGGTGAGTACAGGGGAACATATCAGGATGTTAAATAACTTTGGGTACATCTCAACGAATCTGATTTGGCTTAGTGTACCTTTATTGACTTTTACTTTTTTTTGTTTTTAGGTTTTTAATCAGCCCAATCCTTTTCAACCATTTGGAAAAGAGAGGAATTCAGGTTTGTAATGATACATAATCCAAATGTAATGGGTAAAATAGAAAAAAGCTACTTACAATGCATTTCATCTAATAACATATATATACTGTTAAGAAAAGTGGGAAGGGAAATCTGGCCAACCATGTACCTCAGGTCTCAAGGTTTGCCAACCTAATAACATTTGAAAGATAACTCTCAGAGATTTCTGACAAATGAAGACTGTACATTACAACAATAAGAAGTAAACTGGAAACAGAAGTTAAGTTGAATATATACATATAATAATATGGGTTTGTTTGCTTGTTTGTTTGTTTGTCTTTAAAAACACAATGCACTGGTGGTGAATATGGAGATCCTTATTTCACTTCAAACTTCATAAGAAATAAAAAATTCTCTGGTGGTACTTTTTGAGCCTACAAATTTTCCTTCTTTCACCAAATTTGTCACCCAAAACAGGCCTCAGGGTGTAAATTTCAACAAATATTCACAACACCATTGAACACTATTATGTTATTAAATCATCAATTATATTTTGTTCAACAGACCTACTTGTGGGTGCTTAATGAAGACAGTGAGTTTGATTTTGCTTTTAACAAGCTCAAGGTTGCTGGTGTCATGACTGATTATCCCACAAGACTTAGGGACTATCTGCGCAGTAGCAATTTAAATCCTGGGCAGCCTGTGCCTACTGCTAATGGAAGTGAAAGGAGTGAACTAATTAAAAAGGATTAAACATATTTGAGTTGATCTTTAAAGTAAAGTAGGACATTTTAAACAGATCTTTAATGGAGACCTATTTGTTTTGTTGCTAAGCTAAAGCCAAACAAACACTATGTTGGATGGTGTAGTTTGACTCTAAGTTTTGATATGTTAATTCAACAGAGATGTAAAATAGTATCCAATAATGTCTAAGTTTCACTGGGCTGGTCTATAAGGTCCGGAAATTCCATTCAACTGAGTTTAAAAAGTATGTAAATATACTTTAATTTGTAATTCCAATTAAACTCATCTCATGAGGAAAATGCCGAAATCAAGAAGGCCATTTACCTGTAGATCTAAAGAAGAGAACAGAAAACATTCATGGAACTTGAAAATAACTTCTTACTGACTAAGCTTGAGGGCTGTGCTGTAGGTAATGACTGAAGGCCAATATTCCCTAGTATGGCCTGAAGTGAGGTTAGTAAGTAGTTTATTATATGGCACCCTGGCTAAACTTTTTTATTTTGAATTTGGCAGTTTTGAGAACCAAAAAATTCACAGTTATGACTATTTCCCTGGAAAAGATCTGTATGGCAAAATCCAGACCAAGTAAGAACCAATCAAAATTCTAAAATTTACTGAAAGACTACCTTGCCATATGATAACAACAAATATTGTGAGGATAAATCAGAAAGCATCTCCCAAAGAAAATAACTGAGTCCCCAGTGATGGCATGAACCTTTGACCTTCAGAACGTCTTCTCACTGAGTTACAGAGAGTTTGTTGTTGAGTAAGGCCATGAACTGAGCTCATATGTAACAAGCATCCTGTATGCTGTTAGAGTTAGTTGTGTCAAGCACATCTTGTGAGGAAGGGGAGTAAAAAAGACAGTTAAAAATTGTATACACATTTCTTTGAAGTAGAACATATCCTGTAAGAATTATTGGAAAAATATTTAGTAGATTGGCATTCCCTCCTACTAAAGAATTTTTTCTTTAGAACATATGAGTAACCATACACTACTAATACAAAATTGGTACATGCTGATCAAATCGTAAACTACAAGGCTACAAGTGATTTTATTTAATTAAAGACAAGATTATTTTTTTAAGATTTAGTTCTTGCAACACATTTTTCTGTAGAAGATTATAACTGAATATCTAGAAAATTCTATTTCAATTCTCAATTCTAAATACATTACACATAAATTGTCCTACATGTAAATCTTAACAATAAATAGCTTTTACTTTATGATGTAATGACTTTGTGATGTTGTAGTCTCCATTTAACAATAAGTTAAAACATCTAATGTATCTCTGCAGTGTAAGTGAAGTCTAGAAATAAATAACTATTCTCATTGACATTGTGATTTCTCATTAATTTGAGTAATTTTCCACGCAAAAATTGTAAAATTCATAAAGTTATGTTCAGAAGTGAAAGATGTTTTATTTTTATTTTTTATTTTTAGTGAAAAAAAATACCAAAAAGTCTTAAGCTAGCAGATTTGCAATAGAGTTTATCCATGATGCTAGCTGATGGATTTAAATAATAACAACTTATTCTTGGCAGAAATTCCTAATAGGATCTTTTTATCCTTAGGTATGCACCAATTCTATCAGTATGGATTTAATATTTTTTTTTTGATTATGAAGAAAGGCTGGTCAATCACAACCAAAAAAAAATTTTCCTACCGGAATCTATTATATAACCTATAATAATGACACTCAATTTTACTTTTACCCAGTCATCAGGTGAATCACACTCTAAGGAAAGTGCCCTATTGAGCAGAAGCCAGGGTGTGTAAAATTGAGATGATGGAGTAGGTTCTTTGGATGTGGTACACTATGTAACACAGTTCAACTTTTACTCAGACGACTTAGAAATTTGTTATAAGGAGGAAGGTCTGTTTTCTCAAATGTCTCTATTCATTATTATCTTGTATTTCGATAACTGTGGTAGCTTCTTCCACTTTTTCCACAGCAGTCCTCTTCACTTGCTCCTCATCTGTGTCCTGGTTACAAGCTTGTTCATTAACCACAACCACTTGATCATGCCCTCGTTTCTTTGGTGATGTATACCCATACAAGGCCTGTTTACTCATGTTCATGGCATCTGACAATTCAGCAACAAACTCAGCCAAGTCAATGGTCACTTCTTCCCAGAGCTCATCATCAAATTCAAAACAGGTTTCTTTGTTTTCACCTTTCAATCTCTCCAGTAAGACACCCTTAGACTTACCCCTTATGAATAAGTATGTTTGAAGCTGTATGTAATCATACTCTGGGCACATAAATCGGTTTCTTCTGTTTTTAACTTCAATAACGCTATCTTCTGTCTCGGCATCCACTTTACCGCATACACTCCACTGTAATCCGTTGTACTCCATATCCTGGTAGAACAGATGAGGTGCGATCGGACGTTCGATCTCGATCCCTTTCACTTTCTCAAAATCTTGCACAGCTTTTTCCTCCAGTTTTGTTCCGCGATCCTTGGTAATTTTGGACTCCACTGCTTTGACAACTTCCTTCGTGTTGATCCCTTGTTTGTCACAAATCTCTTTCACGGCAGATTCCACGAGCTTTTTTTCGTTCTCACAAAGTGTCTCCACCTCGGTTGTAACACGTTCGATCACTTTTGCTGACTCGAGGATTTGTTCTTCTTTCTCGTTCTTCAACAACTTTGCTTTCAGAAAACTCAGAATTTGCCCGTACAATCTTCTGAAAGAAATGTCGCAGATTACCTTTCTAATAGCGGAACCAAAATCGACGGTGTCGTCTTCTTTTTCCAAAGATGGAAACTGAATCAACAATTCTTCAGAAACTGCCAAGATTGGACGAATGTCGCTTTGGAACCTCAAAGCAAACGCAAAAACGAATGATTGCTGATGCGATCGAAGCCAGACTCGCTGAAATGTTTCCTCTCTGGATTGATATCTATGCCGTCCAATTGCGCTGGCTAATTCGCTGGCAAAAATTACAAGTTGACGTCGAGAACAAACGCTCGCTGCCTTTGCCATATTGCCGTTTCGAAGTTATGTCGGTTTCATAAAATTAACATTTGTTTATAAATCGCGCGCTGGCGCGCCGGAAATGTTTCATTTACGGGGGAGGGGTAAGGCAAAACGAAAATTGGAGAAATGAAAGCAAAAAAGCTTTGAAACGCGATAACATGTTCAAAACCTGCAAACACAACTTATCAACTTTAATTTCGCTTTATATTGAAGAATATTTCGAAGATTCAGATATTTTTCCACATCATTCCAATAACCCGACCCCTACCTGGAGAAACATGATTTTCACCTCTGGTTGAACAACAGTCCGGGCAAGTTTGAGCGCGTTCGGCACCAGCTGCGGGGACAGGGATGCGGTCCCCACTTGCAACAGAAAATTGGTCCGGGAATATAAGTCTTGCTAGATTTTTTTGAGAATTGCTAACATTGTTTAGGTCGGAGATTTAAAGCTTATATCAAAATATTCAAATTACAACTTGCAAATTTATACAAAGAAGCTTTCAAAACTTTCTATACTAGTCACCAAAATCACAAAAAGTAATATGGTCTAGTGCTCTGACGACGTTCTTGTTTGCAAAACTTAAAATGTTGTTCTTAAAGTTATTATAGAAAAATATTATTTAAAACTTCTTCATTATTTCCTCGCTATTCGTGTTTGGATATGGAAGAACCCACATGAAAGCTAACTGGTGAAGAGTTCCTGTCATATCACACAGACCACACTTCCACGCATGCGTTAAACTTCCGCTGACACAGAACCCTTCTAGGCGCAGATCTTTTTCAACCAGTGACGTGAACTGATGACAGTCTGGAATATCCTCATTCGGAACAATAAAATCAATCGATGGAAGATGGGAACCAATGTAATACTCTAATTTCTCTCCAGAGTCGTTCACACTAAAGAACTGATGGCTTTGACAATTTTCATTACCATCACTAAGTGAGATAAAACTTCTGCAGGTATCTTCACTAAGGTTGTAATCCTTTTCAGAAGCGTATCGCGTGACAGTTATCACGCAATCACGACCAACGACGAATTTGACAAATTTGTGAAATTTTCGTCGCGTAGTTTCTAAAAGGACGCTTTTCCAGTGGTGATAACTTTCTGCTAAGTCTCTTTTTTGTTCCTCTATTGCAATATGTGGGATCACAGATGGATAGGATGCAAGCTCACGAATAAGTTGCTCTAACTGGAAATAGTCCGCCTCGCGATACACTTGTAGCGCAACGCAGTGTTTTGGAAGTGACGCGTCACGCAAGTAATTTAAGATATAACCAAAGTATTTTCCATCGCGATCAATGAAATATCTTCCTTCTTTGTCCAATTCAAGTTTGTATCGCCCACTGAACATTGCAGCTAACATGGAATCTTCGTCTTTCAAAAGCGTGGAAAGGCGAGTGGTGAAGAAATGTCCGCCAACATTGAGGGAAATTATCGTCGGGAGCTGAGAAATGGCAAAAAAAATTGTATTAATTTTCGTGTGATACACGGCTTCGATTTCGCTTCGTATTTATTTTTTGAAGTGCAGGACCAGGGGTCCAAATTTGATTATTTTCATTTTTTAAAATAACATGTTTTTCTGACCATTATGGTCGACTGCTTTGATTAAGTCTAACGCATATAAAGCTTTGTAATGTACGAAAAACATTTTGAAAACAGTAAAAATTGTGCACACTTCAACCTTCGACAATGTCAAGCTTTTTTAGCAGCACAATTAGGAACCAGATCGATGAAAGAGGAGTTGATATTCATAAAAAATTTCCGAGTCACTGTAGAAAGGCAAAATTCAGAATTATTTAAAGCCAAATTTGCAAAATCAATGTTGGAGGAAACGCTCCAAGTATTCAGTTTGAAATTTGAAGAAATACTATGATTTATACAACGTATTTCTGTGCTTTACCCAAATAATTATTTGACAACAAATGTACTATTTTACCGTCAACTTTTGTTCCATGGTTTTTTCGGAAGTCGATGCAAGAAGTCGGACGAGGTTGACTCGTTCATGCGTGAGGTAAACTGACAATTTTATTGCTTAGAACCATATATTTAAGGTAAAAAACTAATTTACATATAAAAGAAACCTTTCAAAATTGTGGTGTTTGACTTGGATTCTCACGAAACCGACACGATTTTTCATCACGAAACTGCTTTCGCGTTTATTTCATTACGTGTCTTAATACTCTACTAATTTCCTTGATTTTTAACCCGTACTTTTAAAAAGAGTTCAGATAAAAATAATTTTGACAAGAAAGTTGATAAAAATTGTTCGAAAACGGCTCGTGCCTTTGTAACATTTTCCGTTGTGACGAGCGCGTGACTTTCAGCGCGATTCAAAAGATGAATCCACTTAAAAAGAGTCACTCTTGCACGCAACAGTGATCATAGCTTTCCTGGCCTAAAAAGTAAAATAATTTCATTAGGATTACACTATTCTTCACTCTTAAAGTATTTCTTATGTTGACAGAGTGACATTCAAAGGAACTAAGGGAAATATCTCCGTTAATCAGCGTTTCGTTTCGTTTTTTTTTTTTGGACACTATATTGTACTTATTTTCTGTAACAGCAAATATCTGTGATTCTTTGAACGCCATTTTTATTCCTACAAAAGTTATAATGCTATCATTTCTCGTTATCCTTTAAAATCTGACACGCTTCCCCGGAACAAATGAAGTTGTCAACTACACGGCTCTGTGTAAATAAATTCAGATTCAGTCACGAGATTATATTAATCAATACCACGTTCTCCAAAATTTGCATTTTGTGGCTCAGAGGACGTGACATACGTAACTTTGATGTTGGCCGCTTGATCACGAAATATGAATTGAGGTGAAATCATGATACTCCTTTTGCTGACTGGTGCCATGAAGCGCTTCGACACAGCCAATGTTTCGTTGAAAATGTTTTGTAATGGTTGTTTATTTAAAAAATATAAGCCTATGGATGAGCTTACGAGTGACTCACGGTACTAAGAAACAGCATGATGGGTATTGAAGTGACTGAAAGCTTGCACGGGTTATGTCCAGGCATACATTGCGTTTAAGACGCGTCTAGAAAGCATTGCACGAACCATCGCGCCTACTCAGCCGAAAAATATCTCGAAAATGTCTGATAGAAGAGTTTATTTTCATAGATCTTAGCCTGAAATCGACTTCTTCGCTTCGAATCAGACTACACGTGAAGAGACGAATATAAAGGATTGTGATAAAATAACCAGCAGTACGGACTGCAACATCATCTTTTCCGGAGGTCGCTTTCTTGGCATGCTAGCCAAACGAAAAAAAAAAAAAGATTTATGGAGACATATGGTTACTTTCTTGCAAGATCCTCTGAATGATGACCAGTTAGCTTGTGACCTGGTACGACTCGGGTGATGAATCTGAAAGGAATACTTGTCATACCATAGAATACAAATTTGATAACAATAATAAAAAAATAATAATAATAAAAAATAATAGTAATATAAATTATATTTACAAGGCGTATAGTAAGAGCACTATTACTCATAGCTTTGTACAGCCTGAGTGTTCACGATTTACAAAAGTTATTCATCAACTTCGCGAGATGTACAGAAAAAATATTGTCCACAGTTGTTCAACGCGAATAGATGTTGATAGCAGTTTACTTCGAGCTTGGTCTATACATCCTATCAAAAAAAGCCACGACTATTTGTTTGAGATTATAGATCGTCAAACCGTTCATAACCTCACGTTCAATTTGGCTGCTAAGAATGTTTTGCTGTTGAAGAGCCCTCGCAAGTATTTTCTTTCGCCTTTGACGGAATAATGCTACAATTTACTTGTGGTTGTTATTTCTTTGTAGGCGAAATAGCCGCATTGATGGTTGGCAATGTCAACTTAATAGAGCTAGCACTGTGGCGATCGAAGTAACCCGCATAATAGACGCGGTTAAGTTTCACTTCCGGATTATGTTCTTGCTTGGCACAGGTTTGTAGGAAAAAGACTGCGAAAACATGACGATTTCCAGGATTCCCTGACCTTCCAAGAGCAACAGGAGAGTTCTCAATACTAGGGTAGTTCCCTCGTATGTTTCTTTTAATTTACGGACGAATGAGTGGAACATTTTGATCGGAATTTCAAGCCATTCTTGTGTCACCAGGAGCTGAAATCTTTGAATCCGCCAGATACTTTAATTTTCTTTTTCGATTGTTGCGGTGCGAGGTCAGCAGTTTCAGCATCCCTGAAAAAGTTGGGCCAAAAGATTGAAGAAAAAAAACGGCAATGACAGCATCTCGTGCAAGAAAAATACAAGCGAAAGCTAACTCCAGGGATACTGGATATTCTCCAACTCAGACAAAGAATTGTAGAAAAAAAAACAAAGCAAATAAATTGCACTTTTTAAACTCTGATTTTACGCTGGAAGACATAACCTTGCACTCCCAAGGAGCCTTCAGAGGTTTTAACAAATGAAAAACTACTTAATTTTTCGAAAAAAAGAGTTAAACGGATATATCCTATCATACCTTGACGCTGGCTTCTGTTTAATATATTTTCCAACTCCTGACCGGTAAACCTTTGGTGCCTCTGCTGGCGTGGCAGCCGCTTTCTTTTTGCGGGCGGCTTCTTCCTGAACACGCGGAAAATGAAGGAAATTTTACATGAAATAATTCGAATCACATATTGCTCACGCACTGTACAAAGATCACCCAACAAAGGTTCACTTTTATCTCACTGTTCAGGAGGTTTTACAATCGGTATCCATTTATTATCAACAGCTGTCTCACTACTTAACGAGCATCTACCGCCCATTTGTAGCACAAATCTGGGAAAATTTCATACCGAAAAGCTTAAACAACTCTGTATACTGAAGAGACACAACTGTGTTGATCAGTAATAGCCTTTAACGCACAGAAGTGATTAAAATGTAACTTCTATCTATAATAACCATAAATTATCCAGCAAACTGGTGATGAGAATACTCAAACTCATCAGGTGGAAGTTGTCATCTTGATCCAACACGAAGTTCTCGTAACTAAATTACAGGAAGATAAGTAGCAGCTAGAGGGGAGAATTAGTACTCAGATCTTGGGACTTAAAAGGGTTAAGTTGTTCCTGCCGTACAGTTAGGAAAACGAAGAGCGATAATCGCGATAGTCGCTGGGAAGTGAAAAAACGAAGGAGACCTGGGTCCCTTACACGGCCGAACCAACACCTCCCCTACTTATATCGCGCCGTTCACTATTTCATGCGGAGTTCGCACCACTTAACAGGCTGAACGCCTGGAACATCAAAGTTGATAAAAGATATTCAACCCAGCTCAAACTGTATTCTCTCGACGACGCATTTCCACATCTTAAGGTTTAAAAGCTTTTTTTAACTGTGCCTTTCGGTTAAAGGACAACAGCCGGCAGAAAATAGGAGAGCAGAAAGTCTACGCCCGTCCCAGAATCCCAAGTGTTCTAGTAAGGCTTGAAGTTACACGTGCGTTTATTGGATTACTTCGACCAAATTGGAAACTTGGAAACAGAATTGACTAAAACAATCATTAATGGAAAAAAATACCCTTGCGTCACTTTCCAAATTTACCTGCTGTTTTTCTTCTTCTTCCTTTTTCTCTCGCTCTTTTTGAAGCTAAAAAAAAAATAAAAAAACCATTTGCTTGTTTCATTTTTATTGATATCACATATCTCTATCTAGCCTGCGGGAGGAAGAGAGAGCCTAGGAACAACGTAGGCAAAAATACATATGTCGGACACAAATATATATATCGGACATTAGTTACCGAAATCGGACACTAGTGTCCAAAATCGGACACGAGAGTCTATAATTAGACACTAGTGTCCAAACTTGGACACTGCCTTACAAGTTTTTTTCCCTCCTATCAATGCTTTATATCGCTTGGACTTACTTAAAATTCGTCAGGTAAAAGGATTGCTCTACTGGTTTTAAAATTCATTTTAATCTGACATGCTTAAAATAAGGGAAATCACTGGATTATTCAATCAAAAAGTAAAAGAATTATACTAACCACAGCGTCAACTTCTTCGAAAGGATTCACAAACACCGTGGCTTTGATTAGCTTGATCACTTCCTAAAAAGAAAATACAAAGAATGAATAATATAGGAGGTGCATACATTATACAAGGGTGAGAGACTAACCGTGTATACTAAATGTCAACATTTTGATGCTATATGAAGCGAAGTCGAGTAACTTCGTTCAGCAGTCAGCAGCCGTGTTTACCACTGAAGCATGAGCCAAACCTCTTAAACTTTGTTAATGCGTTTTTTTCTTTTTTCCACTAATACCTTTGGTCGATCTTTTTCGTCAGTTTCTACTCTTTCCAAAGCGCTTAATGTTTCGAGCCCACCAACCAATCTGAAGACAGAAAAAACAACAGTAAATTGATAGTCAACTAAAAACACAATTGGATCAGTGTCTACCGTGGTATATAACGTCAAAGTCTTTAATTTCTTGAGACATAAACCTCTAATATGAAAAAAATAACAACAACAAGAACAACAACAACAAAAAAACACAAGGGGATAAAATTAATAACATTATTACCTGCCAAACACGGAATGTTTTTCATCCAAATGACGACAGGAGCGATACGTAATAAAGCTTCAAGAGAGAAGAAAAGGCTAAGATTAAAATAACTAATCGGAATATGGGACATCTGATTCTTTTTAAAAAAAGTATCTTTTTTCAATCGTTGAATGGTATGTTAACAATAAGGTTGCGAACTTTCTAATCAGTGTTTCACGATTTCCTAACAAGAAACAACAGGTGGAAGTTTCTCAAGGAGTGATACTTACAACTGGGATTTATTTGTATTCGGTCCTGAATTTGCCATACTTAGAATGCCTCTCCCTGAAGAAAAAAAGACAATTGCTTTCAGTGTCAAATTTAACATCCACGAAACATTTTCGTTGAAGATGACGGCGCCTTGACAATTTTCTCCAACTGGCCTTATGCCGCAGAAATATCACGTCTTCAACATTCTTACCTTGATGTATCAAATTCGGTTTGAACTCGTCTCTGAATGGCTCTCCCCAGGCCGACTCACCACCTGCCAACCAAAGTAAAGCACAAAACCATGTATCTGTAATAACTTTTGATCAATACAGTCATTAGAGCAGTTTTTAACTAAATGTTGAAAAACCTGGGCACATCATCGACAGGACCAAACCTTGAATAGAAATAATATGAAAAAAAACGACAAATAATTCTGAAAGAAATATGATATGACAGGGTGCCCGGTTTCTGGCGGTATTTGGTAAAAGAGAGCGTCAGTCAAAAGCTTTACCTCGCCCTGTTCCAGTAGGATCTCCTCCTTGAATCTAAAGGAAAAACCATTTGAACGAAAAAACAACGTTACGATTAAAAAAAAAGTTTAAAAGCCTTCAAAAGCAATTTTTACCATAAGTAATAATCCACATGAAGTGACAATTTGTATTGTGATCGAGAGGGAACCTTTCAGTAATAGGGAATCACTTACCATAAAATTCTTGATGGATCTGTGAAAGACTAATAAAGAAAACATTATTATTACTAGCATGCTATACAGACTTAATGGATAATATCAAAGCTAAATGAACAATCCACAAAAAAAAAATCAGATATAAATATTGCAAGCTTGACACTTCTTCAGATTTTTGGAAAAAAATATTTGTCACGCTGTCATGCTGTCATGTCCAATATTCAACCTTTGACACCTAAACTTAGTATAATTTCCCTCCCAATTCTAGTGCAAAAAGATAAGATGCAAACAAATCTGTCTGAATATTGGTAAACAAAAGATCAATGAACTCACTTGTGTTGTCATAGTAGCCAGAAGCACAGAGTTTTATAAAATTCTCACACGTCTTTGAAACCTAAAAAATAAGAAGACTAATTGATCAAAACATGTACACACGCATCACAAGTTCGTTTATGAGGAAATTTCTTTTCATACCGATGTATGAAAAGAAATGTAAAGAATGTAAGAATTCAAGAATGTAAATATCAGGGATTTGCTAGAGAAGGCGGACAAGATACTCTACAAAAAAAGATCGAATGACCCCGAATGCCCATTCTTCCAGTTTTTACCTAAGGAAAAGAACATGAGGTACAATCTTAGAAATACGTCAGTCTCTGTCCCTAGAATCTACACTGACAGGTTTAAGAACGTTTTTAGTAACAGAATAACTTTTAGATATGATATGTAAATAGTTTTTTGAGTTTATATTGTAACTTAGGATATGTGATTTTATCTTAAGAAATAAAGATTATTATTATTATTATTATTATTGAAATGTGTGCAAATAATAAATTAAAGAATGATCAATCGAGAGACTTACTGAATTAGTCAATCAAGTAATCTAAGAAATTCAGAATGTTAGCACACCTTACCATTTCACAGTGAAGTTCCAAATTAAGATCACCATGATTTGTCTGCAGTCTCACATAACCTTGACAAAAAAAACAAAAAAAAAACTGAACTGGTGACTACAAATCATATCTCTACTTCGTGTCTCACCATACATCAAATTTCTCATCAGCATGAGAAAACAACAAAAGTTCTAGACACAGGCCCATACCTTTCTTTTTCACTTCTCTGTATCTCACTATATCCTGATCAACAATAGCTAGAAGTAAATTTAGCAATAATAAAAATCAGAAGAATCAAGGCCAGCTTGTATAATAACATAAAAGAGAATGTATTTCTTTAGCAGTCAAAAAAAAAAAAAAAAAAGAAAAAAGAAAATGAAACTGTCTTTCTAGGGGTGATCCAATTACCACTGACCCAGTACAGACATTTGCATACTGGCTCACAAAGAATAAAACCACCCAGTCACTCTTTATGTTTTGAGGGTTAAGTTGGGAGAAAGAGAGTAAGGGAAAGGAACAGTTTGCATATTCTCCATACTGTTCTCTATACATTTCCAAAGAGGCTGACAAGGAGAATTTGTTTCACAATCAAGAGCTGCTTAAGATGGTGATCATCTCCTCTATTCTCATGAATTTCATGTTTGATTCAGGGATGATAGGGAGAAATTAGATGCTAATCACTCTTAATTGCTAAAGGGTTAAGGAATAAATATGAGAAATTGATAGACCATAGATAAGTGATATCATCTAGCATACAAGAATGAAAAAGGAAGTACGTATTTAGAGAACATACCTGCCTCCTGTTGAGTGACAGGTATTTGTGCAGTGGATGTGAATGAGCTGGCTACAGCACCAGTAGAATAATGAGCCTGCATGACACCATTAAGAAAAGTTAGAAATAATCATTCACAATACAAATCATACATGTACCCTCCTTCTGAGGGTTGAAACTCAGTTTGAATTGTCAGAGTTTGGATGACAATCTGTTTCAGCAAAACTGAAAAAGCAATTTGTTGATGGATCACTATAACTTCACTTTTTCAAGTGTTCCTTGGAATTAGCATTAAAAATGAGCAGTTGTTTTTCTCTAAGTTGTGATTATATTTTTAACTTCTGAAGTTACTACAGCAGCACTTGACCCTCTTTAAAAAACACTCTTAATTTTTACTTTGAGTTGCTGTGACTGAGAACCAAGTTTGACAACCCCAAGTTTTTCTTACTGGATTGTAATTGGCATATCAAAATTCATCTTTCCGCATGGTCTAAACAGACATGTACATGTAAATGTACTCTCAGAGCAGAGGAATCTCAAATTGTCAAAACAGGTGGCTCTATGCCAACCCATGTTAAAGAATCACATAGAGAATAATTATGTTGATTCACTGTTATTAAAGGGTGATATGGAAACACTTCAAGTAAACTTACAGCATTTCTCTCTGTAAGTGATTCACTTGTTTTCTCTGTGCTCTTCTTCTCCTGAAAATAATTATTAATTAAATAATTATGTCTATGAAGTGCAAGTTGTATTTGATACCAAAAAAGTGCAAACTGCATTTCTCTACTAGAAAACAACAGTTAACATAGAATTGTAGTAAAGTAAAACAGCTGACTACAAAATGACATACAGATGACTTACAGGTTCTTTGTAAGTTTTTTCTAGTTCACTCAGAATACCAAGGGTGTCTTTGTTAGCCCTGTTCAAGTAGTACTTTGGATCCTTCTTGGCTTTTTCCTCCTCTAAGGATGGACAAATATAAAAGACAAATATATTGAGCTGATGACATCTAAATCTAAAGCAATACAAAATCCAATTCATAATCAACACTAGCAGCATCATCACTTTAATCATCTGTCACAGTGGTCATCATTACAACTATTGTTACAAGGCCATTATCGCAAGTGGTCTCAGAAAAACATGGTAGTAAAAAGGGCATGTCTTTCTGTTGATCATGCTCTGGATGGACAATTAGAAGTAGCTCACAGTCTGATTGAAGTCATTACATCACCAAGCCAGGAATAAATGCAGGCTTACCTTCATTAACCACTTTCAAATTGTTCTTTAGATGATGGAAATTTGCAAGATTAAATTTGTCAAGACTTGATGGATCCTGCATTGAAGAAAAAGTAAATAAAAACTCAGATACAATATGTGTCACTTCTTGTGAGTGTACAACCAACTAACCACACGACTTAACTGTTTGACCCCTAATAGTGACAAGCATATAGTTTCTCCAACCAATGTAACCCCTAAACCACACATTGATATCACGAGAATAAGGGAATTGATCACCAGCTGACAAAGTTCTGGATTGTTAAACAAATTCTCCTTATCAGCATCTTAGGAAATGTATAGATCAGTGTGGAGAATATGCTAGGGAGTAATGGGTTAATGCATGTGAACTCCCACTTGGATGCTTTCACCTAGCAGTAAGGAAGGATTGTTAGGTCTTGTCAGAATCTAAAACACCATACATTGGAAAGCTCATTGATAAGGAAGATCACCACTTAAAAACATCCAATATCCTTATATGCAGATCTTAGCAGTGTTCTCCCTTAATTCAGCCCAATAGGTAAAAGAAATTTTTCAACTGGTAGAGTGAACCTTTCACTTGTTGGGTTTTCTCATATGGCATTCAGTCCAAAGTGAAGCATACCTGAATAGTTATAATGTCTTTGCGTGTAAATGGTTCATCAGTCAAAAGGTCTTTGAAGTTCTTGGTTTTAAGGTTTAACTGTTCTACTGCCTATTAACAAAAAGAAATTGTGACACAGTGATTGTAACAATTGGTAATTGCTGAATATTTGTCTCATTTTAATAGGTTTTCCCACAACAGTGTCACAGTTAGTGGCAAAATTATTATTTTGGTACTTGCCTTCCCTTTCTTAAAGCAAAATTAGACTATATATTTAACCTTGTACAAAATAATATCAACTTCCATTACTGAAATCTTTAAAAAGGGGGAATGAGAAATAAATAATGACTTCTTCTAAAATCACCTGATGTCATTTGATCATCAGTGAATTTTTCGAGTAAAAAGGTTTCATTTCATTGTTGGCTCAGTTGATTGTTGAGTCCCTTAACTCATTAACCCCTAAGAGTGACTAGCATCTAATTTCTCCTTACAGCATCACCCCTGAATCACACATTAAGGTCATGAGAATAAAGGACATGATCACAAACTAAAGAAGCTCTTAATTGTTAAACAAATTCTCTTCATCAACACCTAAAGAAATGGATAGTAAACAGAATGTAGAATATGTATACTGATGTTGGCATATAAAGGGTTAAGTAATAGGGACACAAACCATTTGAATTTATCCATTGATGGTAAATAGGACAAACATACCTCAAAAGAGAAGACATTTCCTGTTGTTTTGACTGCTACAATATGAGTGTTGCTATTAAAGACCTTGAAGGTGACAGGACAGTGATATTTATCTGTAAAAGAAGACAAGATCTAAAATAAATTATCTATACAGCGATTAAATATTTGTTTCAAGAAAACTGCTCAAAAATTATTCATCAATACACTTACCCTCTGCATTCTTGTGGAAATTTAGTTTTGTCAGTTCTTTAGCTTGCAAAGTCTGTGGAGAAGGAATTCTTACCATCATGTGATCGTATTCTTTAGAATGTGCACTCGTACAGTAGATCATACACTCATATTAATGTAACAACTTTCTTTAAGAAAAATACAAAGAGCCTTCTGACAGAAGGTATTGTGTGTGTATTAAGTGCATACCTCTCCTGTAACTGGGTTTTTACCATACTTCTTCAGATATGGAACAATGTTTCTGTGAAATTATGAAAAGAAGTAAAAATTTGTTATTTGTATAATTATTCATAAAGTCAACTAAGTATGAAAAGACAAAACAAACTATATAGGAAACCCCATTAAAAAACAACTAACATTTTCACAATTTCTCATTTCTGAAATCTTTTAAAAATTCCCTCTACTGTATCTGATTTGTCTCAGCTTTAAAACCTAATGATCATTTTGGTATATCTAATACTGGGTAAAAACAACCTGTTCTACTCTTCCTAGCACAAGATGAGAATGTCCATGTGGCATATTAGTTTAACAGAGTGACTAGCATCTAATTTCTCCCAACAATACACCCCTGAATCACACATTAAGGTCATGAGAACAAAGGAAATGATCACTAATGAAAGAAGCCTTTGATCAGTAAACAAATTCTCCTTGTCAGCTCCTTAGGAAAAGTATACAGAACGGTATAAAGAATTTGCATACTGATGTTAGGGTGTAAGGGGTTGACATGTAATTGATACAATATTTTTATTACGGTTTGAGACAAAGGAGAATACTACCACCTCTACCCTTTTTATTTAACTCTCTTGTATTTAGGAGCTGAAGCATAAACTAGGCATGAATATAAAACAATGTCGTACAACTTACAGCAAATCAAATATGACGCCATCTTTCGTACAAAGAGGATGTTCAAATGGCTGCATGGAAAGGCTGAAAATGAATAACATAATTACAAAAATATATTTCAAATGCCCACAGTTTATAAAATAGAATCAAGTAATACATACTAGCTTTGAAGATCAAAGCGGCAGACCAGTGCAGCCTTTGACGACCCTTAGATCAGACTTGTCAGTTACAAGCTTTTCATTTTTTTTCAGCAAATATCAATCATATATAATTTTAGCAAAGAGTTTTGCTAACTCCTACGACTCAACACTATCTAAACACTTCACAACTGACAGAAAACCTTGAAATCCACATTGCGTCAGTGTTACACCCACTAGGTTACTATTTTATTTTTAAAATTTTGTGTGGCAGGATCCATGTATATTTTTTCTCAGTCTCACTTTTCTCCTGACACCCTAGCTGTAATTTAAGTTTCAGCCAAGGCTTATGAAAAGAACAAAACAAGCTCATAAGTTCTGTTACAGTTTATAGTTTAATCATAAGTATCCAATACTTAAAGGAAAAACTAATTATCATTACTTTTTAATTAGTATTAAAAACAAAAATGTCAAATGTCTCAAAAACACAAGGAAATCAGTAAATTATAGTCACCCACCTGCAGCAGTAGAATGGCAATCTTCTAAAACTTGCTTTTTCAGGGACATCTTAGTTTAAAAAAAATTACAGCAATGAGACTAAGACACAAAATTTACATGTATTACTCATTGTTTTGTTTACAACCATTGAATTTTCTACAGTTTTCCTCACAAATAAAACATTATTGAGTAACCACCTATGTTTGAATTAAGAACGACTAAGTTGAAATCCAGCACCCTTACACGCTTACCCATGTTGGTTCCTGGACAGACTCCAAAGTCGTTTGCAAACATATGGTACACCGTGTACTAAACCATACACCCAGCATTATTATCTTCAGTATCATCAACATATTGCAGAGTTAAAATAGCCCAAGAACAAAAGCCATAGGTAAATCCTTTAAAGAACTTAGTTAAAAAATGGCCCTCCGAAAGCCGAGGGAAAAAGATCTAAGATAAAGTCTCAAATAAATCACGAAGGATGTGCAAACATGAGATATGCAGAGCAACAAGTACACTGTACAACTGTTACAATTCAAGGTCGTAGTAAGAAAGCTTACGATGAGTATACTAGTATTTTGGGCTATTTATAGGTAAAGTCAATTTTCTTACCAGCTTTCTTTCCACCCCATTCTTCTCTCCATTCCTTGTTTGTTAAATACCTTGACATAATACAAGTAAAACAAAATAAAACCTCCATTTTATGATCATGCCCAGCTGATTCTATCGTTCTTAACGTAAGGGCGAACAATGTAATATTTTTCTTTCCCACTTAAAAAAACACAATAACCTTCCTAAGCTATCAAACTTACAGCTTATCCTTCTGATGCTGTTTCTTTCCCATTTTTCAGACCAAACTTCAGGCAATTTACCTTTAGTTTTTCGACAGGATCGTTTCAGTCCTTTATTATACGCCTCCAGTACAATTGATCAGCTGACTTCATGTAAGGCATTTTGTCATGTAGCTGATCATGAAATATATAAGTTCCTTAATTAGATCTGAGAACTAACGCACCATGAGTGGAATTACCTGTGAATTTCTACAGGACAAGCTTCAGAAGGAGCTAAATCCTATACACGTGGTAAGAATACTAAATAATTTTTCACATTTTTAATTCTGTTATTCTCGATGAAATAGGTGATAATTTCACTTCAAGGAATTATTTCACATTTAGCATTGATCTGACTATTGTACAGTTCAAGATGAATTCGAATTGACTTCAGAAAACTTAGAAAGAAATCACTTCAAATAAACATTTGATCATTCAAGATTTTCTCTAAAACGAGGAATTATGAAGCATTTTGAAACTCTATACAAGGAGATGAGTTATGTGGTGAATTTTGATTCTTCGTTTACTTCAGTTAACCTCTCGTTAACTGTGGTTTAAGTCTCCGATGGAATTGAACTTTTTAAGCTCATTAAAACCAACACATGTATTCTCTTTCATTTTTTATTATACTTCTAAATCATTCATTTTGAGATGTAGTCCGGAACTCTTTGGGAAAGATTTCTGTATAACCTCATACTGTTCTAACAACAGTCTTAAAGATAGTTTTTTTTTTCATTTTTTAATTTGCTATTTTAAAAGTACTGTATTCATGATGAAGTATGGGGTTATATGGAAATCTTGTCCTCTTCTTTCAATAGAATGTGCAGTATGAAGCTCAATCCAAGGACGGAGAATTTTCATTTCAGTCTTAGCCCAGAAGTTATCTAAATGTAACTTCTTCTTACAATTCCAATATGATATCTTGCAAACAGGTTATGAGAACACATAAGCTCATCAGCAAGAGAATGTTATCTTGATTTAATGCAAAATTCTCTTGTCCAATTTACAACAAATCTATAGAAATTAGAAGGGAGAAATACTGATTGGATCTTGAGAGTTAAGGGTTAACCTTTCCACTCGGGAGTGAAACTCGACGACCATGATCTAGGTGTCAATACCCTGCTCTGTCTGCCTTACAGTTCTTATATTGTAAGGAGAAATTCATTTTTGGTCACTCCAAGGGGTGTAGTGGTTCAAGATATATTTTTATTTTGATCAGCATGGAACTGAAAAAAAAATCAAGATTCACTTTAAATCCAATTTTATGACCATTATTATTAAACATATTTTACTTTTTTGAAAATATAGGAAGTAGTTGACCTGTCAGATGGGTGTGGAGGAAAGTTCTCAATACTTATTGTATCTGACAAGTTTGAAGGGAAGCCTCTTCTAGCCCAGCATCGAATAGTGAATAATTGCTTAGCAGAGGAATTGAAGACTATTCACGCACTGACCCTGAAAACAATGAAACCAGCACAGTGGGAAAAACAGAAGGAAACTTAATGCATGGATATTGGAACAGTGAAGTCAATTAGAAACTATTAATAGCCCCTGTGTGAATAAAGAAGACCTGAGTTTGTTCTGTACGTCCAAATGACAGTGTTGCACATGTGGAACTATCTAAATATTAGTCTTGGAAAGGAAATAATTTTTGTTCTTCTGATGTATTTGTAAAAAAAATATTAATTTAGGTACTTGTAATAATTTAAAGTGGGTTCTCTAAATGAGCTGCATTTCTTAGCTGCAAAATTAATTCACTGTTCTTTGAATATTCACTTCTTACAAGCTCAGAAATTTGTTGATTTGACCAATATGAAACAATTTTGAAAGATAAAAAGATTTTCTACCCATTGATTATCTACCTTTCTTTCTATCAAACCTATTTGGTTGGAGACAACGACCCTTCTTGAAAAGCACAATCCATGCAATTGAAAATTTGTTAAACTTTAAACTCACTCCAGCCATACTGAACTTTGAATATCTGGAAAAGCAGATACAAAATCTTGATTACAATGATACCTGGTATTAAAAGATTATTAAGGGATTACCTTTTTTCTCCCAAACTATTCAGAGTTGAGAAGTAAATAATGATAATAGAGTTGAGTGGAGTCCAATTTGGTCTGTAATCATGTGAGTGATGAACAAAATCAGATGAATGCAAAATGGGAGTCAGATTTGTTGATCACAAGTATGATTACAGACAGAATTGGACAACAAGAAGTCCTGTTACCAATTAATGGTAACCTTTTCAATTAAAAAAAAAATACACCTAGAACAAATATCTTTAGTGGAAACAATGCCTTTAGTTAAAAATTCCTCCAATTTGTAAATACCCTCTTTTTCTTTGGATAAGTGGGCATTAACAATCCCAGTGTTCAATGTTGGTTTTGAATTTGGTTCTGGTGACGTCATACGATTAACAAAATTACATGTACGACCCCTACTGGTCAAAGTATGTTTTTCACACTGATTCTGCGAAATCTCCATCTCAAACGCAATTCAACCTGCAAAGAATTGTCCATAGCGTCATCGATCACGAAATTCACCTTTCTAACACATTGGGAACTGCTCCAAGTATGTGTTATGAAATTTTCTTTGTTGCGTAAACGGTTACAGATGATGAACTTAAATTTGTCTCGCCTGAAAATTAATCTGGTCATTACAAAAAGAGAAAACGAAGTTATCAGAGTGGAAACACTTCTTAAATTACATCTTTCGAAAGGAATGTAAACTATCGAAACTAGTGGCGATTCTGAAGCCTTGGTGGAAGATGTTGCCGGAAATGAATGTATCTAGAAATTTTGAGTCTTAAAGATATTCTACAAACACAAGTGTACAGGCACTGATATTTGACCTTTCATTCTCATTAAATGTTTTTCCATTTCCTAAAAAATCATCAAGCAAATTTGAATTGAAAATTTTGAAAACTGGAGAGTGAAATGTCGGATTAATCTGACTAGTGTGTGAAATCTAGTGTTTGGCGATCCATTTCTGCACAACTAATATCACACTCTTGTCTTTCAGTAAATGGTTTTCTATTTTGAAAGACAATTTTACAACAGTTTTTACTATTGAAAACGTCTGCCTGAGGGCAAAAAAATGAAACAACTTATAAATTATTTCAGAAGGACTCGTGTAATCTAATTGATCTTTTTATCTGGCCGCGTCCTCAAGAAACCAAACTCGAATTACGCATAGTTTTTCATTAAATTTGTGATTTAAATACAATAAAGCATGAATCTTTTCGCCGCCTGCCCAATCACAACGTAGAATATGATATAATTCGAACGGACGCTAAGAGAGATTTGGCATAAATTTTGGTGTTTTTCCTTTCACCTGTTCATCAGGCTAAAGTCATCTAAGTTCATTCCTCGTCAGGTCTTTTCGCCGTAAACAGAAACATGAGCGAGGAAACATTCATTTTTTGGGGTTCTCATGACGAAGAATTTCTTAAAGTGCTGGAAGAAATCGGCGTTCCTTCGCGAAGCGTCTAGAACATAATGGAAGGCTTACGGCTTAGAGAACGCAAGAGGTAAACATAAACTTTATTGGCTTGATTCGAATACATAATCGCCATTGGTGGATTGGGAGTGGCGTATTGTTTAATGTTACTCGCGCAGTTCATATCTTCAAACCTCTTTCATCTGCAGGATTTTAGATTTGCCTCGGGAACAAACCGATCACAAAGATCTCTCTCTGTAAGTACAGTTTATGATGGTATAGATTTTTCGCAGTGTTATTTAGTCATGTCAAGTTGTAACGAAAACCTAGGCTTGGAATTGGGTGTGTATTCGAATGTTTTCATTTTCCGCGGGAATGATATGTGATTCGAAAATGGCAGGTGTTGGTGAACATTTGTATTCAAAACTGCTCCTCTTCGCTTTTTACGCCGACTGAGCCCATCAAAATTATATTTTCAAAGTAGTTTTAAGTGTCATACAAAAGCCCCCTTACGTTTTCACTGAAGTTCTTGTCAAGATCTCTGTTCATGAAGACTTTGAGGACCAACATATTCATGATCTATTTTCGTTCTTCGATTTTTTAAGACTAACAAGACAATGAGCAGAACAACGAACGCTTTTGAACACATCCGTTTCTTGAAGACTACTTTAGAGCTGGACCAAAAACCATCAAGCATTTGTAATGTTATTTTTCGATCCGTTGCCTAGTAATGTAATAAAATTTTGATTTTATAATTCTATGATCGATTTCATGAAGTTTCGAGCAAAATTATGACTGATAATTACAAAATTTTGCACACGCTTGTTTGGAAAAATTTCAAATTGTGTTCGTCGAAGGGGATTAGATATTTCGGTAATTTTATAAAATCTCATTCGTGCTTCAAATTTTGATGCAAGTCGGGCCGAGTCAGCATCGGTTTTGCGCAAATAAACTGGATACAATGTATAACAATCGCACGATTAGGTAGAAACGTAATATTTCTTCGTGCTGTTTGTATCTGTAGGCTCGAATCATAACGTGAAGACCGTTGATTCGCTCTAAATCATTTATAGGAGGCAGTTTCAGTCATGATGTAATGAAGATCGCAAGATGTCTGAGTAAAGTTAGATTATCATCAGAAATAACTATTGAACCAAGATCCGTACAAGTTGCTTAGGCTTGTACTTGTGAATCAACGATGTCTTTAAATCTAAAGTTTTCTTTCATAAAAAAAAATAACAACTCGTTTGAAGTCTAGCCAATATTTTACGATAAATGTTGTCAGTTTGTAACTGAGAACCTCTGAAATTTGTTTTAAATTCAACATGATCGACATCTGTTTAAACAAAATTCAGACTTCTGAACGTCGTAAATATTTTCAGCTGCAACCAAAATCACGAGAATGTTCACTCATCATAATCTTCCTACTGAAGCCATCAATCGTTATTTCTTCTATCAAAATTTTCTTTTGAACGTCCTGAAATATGGCAAAATGATCTCGGACATCGTCTCTCAATTGAAAGCAATCGTAATGAAATGTTTATGATTTCATTGTAGACAAGCAGGTTGAAAAATAAAATTTTATAATGCGGAGAATCCTAGCTACGTAGTCCCATAGAAATGTGAGTTGATTTCTTACGCGTGCTACCTGAACAGGCAAAAATTTTACTATACCCTGTTTTTGGCTGCTGTACATTGGCTCAACCCAAAATTCCTGCTAATTGTTACTAAACTATTATCGTCACAACTGATCTCCACAGTAATTTTGTACAACAAAACAAAACAATAGATATCCCTCAAACTCATCCCTGATAGGCTCCAAATTAGGTTTACTAGCCGTTGTAAATCACGTTTGAGAGGAAATTTTGATTTTGACGGAACACCTTTTTGTTAATTAGAGAATGAGAGCAGCATTAACGTCCATTCTTAGATTTATCTATATGTGCCTAATAGGCGACTGAAATTAACGATGTTAGAATTGTTAGCCATGTTGCTAAGCATCGCCGGGAAAGGAAAAATTTTGAAACATTCAAACATGGGTAATGAATGGTTTTTTATTTTTAGCATAAAATTTTAAACTAACAATTTGCTTTATTGAGCAGTTATTATTTAAGAATTTGTTGTTGAGAAGGCTGTATCAGAACATGTAAGATCGCTTTCTGCTTCTCTAAAAACCTTCAATGTAAGTAGCGCGGCTCAAAGGTGAAATTTGAAGGGATTACATATTGGTTTTTGGGATTGCAATCGATCACGTAGTATCGTCATATCTGGACTTTTCATCGCGTTATCGCGACCGGACATTGTGGTTTATTATGGAAATACAATCAAACGAAGACAACAAGTTGAATTCATTTTCATTTCATTGGAGACTAGGCGGGGTCCTCGAATATAGAGATGTGCATGAATGCGGAACCTTCCTGGGTAAATCCATTGGAAAAAAGCAAGGAAACGATAAAACAAGTAGGCAATTCAGTTTGGGGTGACACGATTTCACTATCCGCGCTCTCAGGTGATGAGCTTAGGGCTTACTTCAAAAGATGGGTGTCTTTCCATCTTACGTTCAGCGTTAGTTGCTAGGTGAAAGTATAGAAATAAGCGTCGATTTTGACTTAGAAAAGATTTGATCAAAATTTAAACGATTCCTTCGTTGATAACTTTGGTAAACGATAGTTTTCTGAGAGACCAGCTGTCGTAGGATGATGAGCAAAATAATTCTTGGAATGATTGAAGAACTTTTAAGTAAGATATGAGAGTATAGCAGATATTTTTAGTAATAAAAAGTTCTTTGGAACAGAGAAGTTCATAGGTTGGGCTAAATAAAAAGCCACTTCATGGCTTTTTGATTTGAATAAGACGATTTAAAAAGGAAACGTTCTTATACTTTACACCAGTTAAGGTATTAGGTATTACTGCGTCCTCGTTTCAGCCCGATATCTACAGCTTGAAGCGAGGCCTTTCGGAAAATAACTACTTGAAAACTTTCTTCAAGCCTCTTTAAAAAAGAGAGATAAAGACAAAAATCCGAGCTGCATTCCAGCTTGCAATGATATTCTTAGTTTCAC